TAATGGAACAAAGATTCCCAGATCAGTCTTGGACCTGGACCACTGGCATCATCTGATGCATGCAGCTGTGTTGGAAGAGTGTCTGCTGCCAAACGCTCGCACCCATGCAGACACACGGACACTTGCCCCAGATTGTTGCTGTTAATTCCCTCTGCCCATCCTTACATTTCTCAATCTTGTTGAAACCTCTGTTCTCCAGCACCATGATCAGGGGTTTACTGGGAAGCGGGGAGGCAGTGTTCATAAACAACACGTCTCCTCGCTCTAAGTGTTCAATAGCTTCTAGGCAAGGGCATCGATTTGGCCCTCTGGCACACAATGCCTCATTTGCAAAACATGGTTTGATGTGCCATTTACTCCAGGCTCTGAGACCAGTGTGGGGAGTGTAGGTTTCCCGCTCGGAAGTACACTGGCTGTTCTGATCATTGCTACGGGGGTTGTATGCACTGATGTGCACTGTGTCTGGTCCTTGCACACCATTGCTCACTACTATTTTCTCCAGTGCCAGGGAGGTTTGTTTGGATATTTTAAATACTCAATTCCCAGTTTAAACACACACTACAGTAGATGGATCATTGGCAGGCAGAGACTTCGCCCCGAACGCTAACGCCCAACGCATCACACCTGCAGTCTCAGGTGTCCCCATAGCACCCATCACCTGTGTAGCTCAGTGCTGACGTCTCAGTTATGCCAGGGTGAGATTCACCACCAGTGCTAGAAAACCCACGGGTAAGGACAGTGCACTAATGGTGAGAGTCACACCCTCAGCCTTTGTGTGCGGGGTGGGCTACACCCCCGGGGCTAGCACTGAGAATCGCCCTCCACGCACAGCAGGATCCGGCCACTAGGGAGCTGTCCCAGACCCAACCTCTGAACAGAGTGGGATCCACAACTCGAGCACGCTGGCACTGGGAGTCAATGGGATCCACACACTAGTGCCAGCATTCTCCTCTAGCGTCCCAGCTCAGTGGGGTCCCTGCTCCGGGTGGTGGTGCCAGGGTTCACACTCCCAGCCTCCAAGAGCAGCGGATCCACGTCACAGAGGGAGAGAGGGTGCATGGAGAGAGCATCCAGATGAGAATTAGATAAGCTTTCCCTGGCACAGGCTGACCTATTAATAGGCTATGCCCAGAGACCAGCATTAGCCTGAGCAGCAACCAGGAGAACATCCTGAACACCCCACTAACCTAGCGAATGAATCAATGCTCGTCAAAGCACATCTGGATACAAACCTCACAGGACGGCGGCTGCCTGTTCTCCCTCCGAGTTCCAGGGGCTGATCCGCGTGGCGCTGCTTGGCTCCTGGAGGGGCACGTTAGCTTAGACGGTGTCTTTCGGGGTTAGCTCCATGACAGATGCCTGGCAGCAGCCTGCTCTCTTTTCCTGGACAGCAAAGTCCCCTCTTCAATCTGGATTGCAGAAAATCCTGCACGGCTTCCTGTCCTCTCCTGAACCACCTGCTGCTGGTGGGGTCATGCAGTGATCCCCAGCTGCTGCAGAGACACCCTCCCCCCCAAGTCCTCTCCGCTGGGATTCCCTGGGCGCAGCGCGGCTTGAGCCCCAAGGTGTTTACACTGTGGATCTGGGTCAGCAGCTGCTTATGTTTTAAAGTCGGCAAAGCATCAGAGGTGCTGATCTAGCAGAAACCACCTCTCCATTTTTAAGAAGCTTTCCCAGCCAATGGGAAGGAGCAGCCTGCATGCCTGGGCCAGAATGCCCCGGTAATCCCACGGCTCAGCACAGAGAGACGGCTGGGAGCCTGCCCAAAGATTCCTTATGGCTTCCCCTCTGCACTCACTTCCCTTTGCAGGGAGGCTCTTAACATTGGTCTCTTGGCTCATCAGGATGGAGCAGCCTAGGCAACAATGTCAAGGAGCTTTACAAAGCTGGCGCGTGAATGCGTGGGATGGGCTGAGGTGGGGCAGGGAAGGTGCAGTCCTGGAGCAGGGGGAGCAGAAGGATGGGGCAGGGGGTGCAGTGGTTAAGAAGGGGGATCGGGTGTGGTGACGGAGCAGGGGATGCAGGATGGGGGGGTGTTTGCAGTGAACGCTGCAGAGACAGAGCAGGGCATTGTGGGGGGTGGGGTGCAGTGTCAGGACCAGGGTGCAGTGCTGGAGTATGGAGGTGCTGCGGTGGAGACGGTGCAACGATGGAGCAAAGGAAACAGAGTAGAGAGTGGGCCATGCAGGGAATGCTCTGAAGTAGCAAGCAGGTGCTTGGATTCAATGCTGATGAGGGCCACATATGCTAGTAGATAGACAGACAGAGGAGGAACATGGAGGCCTTCCTGAACATCCTCCTTACCACTTGCCTGGGGTAAATTCTCCTTTTAAGGAGTGTGGAAAATCTCATGAGTTATTCCCGTCTCCTCGTGGCATATGGCTGGAGGGCTGGTTTGGCCAGGGCTCCCTTTTGTTGCAGACTCCACAAAAAAGCCAAGTGAATGCAGGGCAGGGCTGGCCGTCTAGCACACTCCAAACAGCACTCACCCACAGCAGGCAGAGCCGTTGGCATTAGGATGGTGGGGCCGTGCTGGGGAGATCGGTGCACGTAGAGCGCCAGGAGGAATGCTACAGTCACCAACCATTACAAAAAGCAAAGCCCCCATGAGGGCCGGGGGTGGGGGCGGAGGCAGAATTCAGGCAGCCTCTGCAACTGATTGGAGGGGGTGTGGGGCTGCTGGGGTGGGAGTAAGGGAGGGTTAAGCCACCATAATAAAACTAGAAGTCTGCTTTCCACCTGAAATCACCGCTGAGACCGGCAAGACTCATTCCAGGTGTGGCCAAAGGATTGAAGACATGCACACCCTGGTCCCCAGAAGCGAAAGGCCTGCGGTTTAATCCACTAAGCTTCTTAGCTTCCTTCCCCCTCCTCCGTCTCTAAATTCCTGCAGGGGGGCAGGGGTAACAGAGCAGGGAGGGGCTTTCGGGAGCTGCGAGGGGGGGAGGTTTAATGTCTATTAATAAGGCTAATTGACTAAAGCAGCCGCAGCAGGTCTCTCTCCCGCCCCGGGAGAGCTCAAAACAACAATGCTGTGTTTGTGTGCAGGCCTCGTGAAGCACCAAGTGCGGGGAAGGAACCCTCTCCCTCCCCCCTACACACCACAGTGACCCAGCCAGAGACGGGGAGGCCAGGCGTATTTTCATTAAAGCAGGTTTAAAAGGTGACTCTCAAACTCAACACCTGAGCAAGGGGCTGGCGCCACCGATTCTCCCAGGGGAACCAAACTCTGTGCAGGGGTAACGGGGGAAGTGATGGGGGTGCCACATTCCAGTGCAGAGAGGTGGATGGGGAGAGGGTTAGTGGGACCCCCCGTTCCTTCAGATCTAGATATCCCCCGGTGCTGATGGTCTGTACAGGTAGAGCTCACCCCTCCTCCCCCTCCCTGCCATTCTCTGGGTGGGCACCACTCACTCCACCCTCCTCAGTACTCTGACTGGCTTCTCTAGGAACCCCCACCACCCTGCTTCCCAGAGACCCCCAGGCCTTCTCTCAGCAGGACGGCGCCCTGCGCTCAGCTAGGGGAAGGGAACACAGAACTTTGCTGCCCCCTAGGGGCAGGAAATTACAGGTGCTCAGTGTGAGGTTAGGCGCTCACCCACCACTTACTCTGCTCTTAAGGGCCTGCCCGCAAGAAAGGAGCAGAATGTCCAAGGTGAGTGGGCAAGGAGGATGTACAAGTTAAAAACACAGCTCTAACACAGCTGCAGGCCAGTGTCCGTCCCCCCCCCACACACACACACACACTACAGCTTTCCTCTGGGCAGTGGCTTTCACAAGAACTCCGGCTCAAAACACGCCACAGCGTTCGGTGCTGCTGTGAAGCTGGATTCAAACGAAGGAAAGGAGACTTGAGTGAGGCTGCAGCACAGGAGAAGAGAGATTTTAAATGTGATGGAGAGTTGGTGAGGCCAAGCGAAGCAGGCAAGTGGCTCCAGGTAGCAAGAGCTTTGGAGACCTTTTCCACCGTTTTACCCAGCACCGAGGGGCCATAGCAAGGCTGAGGAGCAAACTCCCGGTCCCTTAGGCGGGTGGAGGCAGCAGACTCAGAGATTTGTCTAGGTGGTTTAGGCACTAGAGCCCCACGTATTAGCAAGGCAGAGTATGTCTACACAGCCAGGTGGCTACTGCGCCTCAGGCTCTGATGCCGACCCAGCTTCCTAGGCTTCCACGCCAAGCCTGAAGGTCTACGCAGCTATTTCTAGAGCCGTAGCGCGAGCCCCACAAGCCCAGGTTCTGAGCCTGCCGCAGGATGCCACTTACTACCCAAGGCTAAGCTTTCCCAGGTCTTAGTTTCCCTGGTGCACACCTGCCCCTGGCATCCCCTCGGGGAGGCAGACAGGAAGGATGGTCAGAGGAACCAGGACACACGGGGAAGTTGTGTTTCCATTTTATTTTAAAAATATATTATTGTTATTATGTACAGAATCAAACACAAGGCTGCGCAGCTGGGTTTCCCCTCCCATCTTAATCCAACCCTGGGGCTACCAAACAAAAGGGTGGAGGAGAAGGCACTGCGAACGGGCAGGCATCCTCCCCTCAAAGCTCTTTGAAACTCAGTGGCCAGTTGCCCAAGGCCCTGGGGCGAGGAGCTGAGAGGAGAAGACCCCTGCCTTGCAGTTACTGTCTGATCCATCATGCAGGGACCTAACCCCAAACGTAGGTCAGGAATCTGCTCAGTGGCCAAATAACCATCACTGGCTTTACAACAGAGAGTAGGGGCTGGGTAGGGTTCTCCTTTTCCCCTGTCAATATCTCCCCATGCAGTGCAGGTGCACAGACCAATGAGAGATGGGCCCTCCTCCAGCTCCCAGTGCTTAGGTATAAGCAACTCCCTGCCCATGCTACCAGCACCAGTATCCTGGGGACACCTTCCACTCAGCGTGACCAGCATCACACACGTCAATCCAAAGAGAACGCCAAAGAAAACCAGGGAATCTATTTACTGCTGGAGTGCGCCAGACACAGGGAGTAAGACTGAGGCGCGCCCTGAGAAAGTGCACTAGGTTAGCGCCAACCCGAGATCACAGTGGCCCAGGAATGGGAAAGGACTATGCGTTTCTACCACCTGTGCTGCTGTCAACCCCCCAGAATCCGCTGCTCTCCACGGCCCCCTTTCACCGGATGATGGGTGCCGACCGGTCGTTGGTGACGGTGGGGCGCAGCTTTACCGTGGCAAACGGGTTGGTGCCGCTGGAAGGAGAAAGGCAAGAGGAGAACTAAAGGCTCAGGAAAGGCTGTTTCAGCACCGCCCGGCCATAGGGCCCTGGCAGAGGCCCCGTCACAGAGAATGTTGTGGGGACGTGCTGCAGGGACAGTAGAAAGCTTCCCTGCTGAGAGCGGGAAACGGTCTCATTCGGATGGGGGCCACCAGGTGCAAGTTATCAATGCAGTTAATTATAATACATCTGCGTACTCTCTCCTGGTAACCCTCCTCCTCATGCCCCCTGACAGGGCCACTCCCCTTCCCTCCCTGCATGGGACTGCCTCCCCCCACCTCCTCCTGACAGGGCCATTCCCTCCCTCTCCCTGGGAGGGACCCTCCTCTTCACTCCCTCCTGGTAGAGCCACTCTCCAGCCTCTCCCTGGACAGGAACCCCTCCTCCACTCTGGCATGGCCATTCCCCCCTACCCTTGGCACCGTTCACAAGATGAGCAGTTAGCCAGTGAAGGAGGAGTTGTTGTGGGAGGAGGGGGGCGGTGGCAAGGGTTCAAATAAAAGAGAACAGGGAGGTGGCTTGGGCATGCGGCTCCTCCTCTCCCCCTGCCCTTTGGCTGGGGCAGCAAGAGCCCCCCCTACTGTTTCAATCCACCTTGACCATTGGGCAGCCTTTCCGAGAGTCGCCTCCTGCCCTGCCAGTTGCCCATCCCATCCCCCACTAGAGAGCTCGCCCCACTTTGTATTCTCTGAAAGGTTCAGAGGATGGAGAGGAGATGGCGAAAGCCTGTCAGATCTCCCTGGGGCTGGTGCAGCTGCAGCTTGCTCATTATGGTACATTTGCTAGTACCTGTCCAGAATAGTTTGTGTCCCCCTCCTGATGGGGCTTCCATACCGCTTCCCTTGGGAAACTAACTGACAGTCCAGCAGCTCTCACTGGCCTGACTTTCCTGTCCTAATTTGCTCTTAGTTACACCCTCCCTTTGGACCCTTCCAAATGGGCAATTCTGAGGGACCCGATTCATCATCTCCTCAACCTGGGAGCTCTTACTCCGGTTCCTCTAGGAGAGGCCAGAGAGGGGTCTGGGGGCCTTGCTAGAGACTGTTTTTACCCTCCTCTCATTCACTGTTCTATTATTTTAACAGCGATAGGAGTCAGTCGACAGGGCAGTAATTGTCACGCTCACCCTTCCTTCCTTTTTTGGAAGACTGGTACCACACTTGCTTTTCTCCAGGCACCTCCCCAGTTCTCCAGGACTTTCCAAACAATAAGATAAAACCACCAGTGATCCCAGACTTCACTTACCGGGGGAAGAGCTCTGGGGGCTGCTCCTGCACAGCTGACTTCTGCAACGGAACGAGACAAAGGGTCAAAAGCTGAGAGTAAGCACCTTGTGCAGGTTAGAGAGAGGCACAAAGAGAGGAGGAGGGAAAGACACACACACACAAACACACACGCAGTGGGACTTTCAAAAGCACCTAAACAATTAAAGATCCCAAGTCCCACTAACGGGATGATAGACTCCATATCCCATTCTCCAATGCCCATTAATTGGACTTGGGCTCCTAAATACCTTAGGTGCTTTTGAAAAATCCCACCAAAGCAGAATTGCAGAGAACAAATATCCCCCTTTCTGTGCAGGGGGAAGAAGGAATTTTGTCCCTCCCCCCCCCCAGGCTCCCAGGCCCCCCTCTCTTTCTCAGGGAGGAGGGTGCATTTCTGATCATGGGAGTTTAGGATCTGCAGAGCACAGCAAAGAGCAAACAAACAAAACTGGCACTAGAATTCACAGGCCAGCATGGCCAGAGATGCCCCCTCTGATCACAGGAGGGCCTGGGATACCACCTCCCGACCCCTGCCTGCTTCCTACAGCCTCATATATAGGGCCCTAACTAAATTCACAGCCGTGAAAAACGTGTCACGGACTGTGAAATATGGTCTCCCCTCTGTGAAATCTGGTCTTTTATGTGCTTTTACCCTGTACTATACAGATGTCACAGGGGAGACCAGAGTTTCTCAAATTGGGGGTCCTGACATTGCCACTCTTACTTCTGTGCTGCCTTTGGAGTTGGGCGGCCGGAGAGCAGCGGCTGTTGGCTGGAAGCCCAGCTCTGAAGGCAGCGCCCTGCCAACAGCAGCACAGAAGTAGGAGTGGCAACACCATAGCATGCCACCCTTCCCTCTGCGCTGCTGCCTTCAGAGCTGGGCGCCAGAGAATGGCGGCTGCTGACTGAGGGCCCAGCTCTGAAGGCAGCAGCACAGAAGTAAGGGTGGCAATACCATACCAGGCCATTCTTACTTCTACGCTGCTGCTGGTGGCGGCTCTGCCTTCAGAGCTGGGCTCCTGGTCAGCAGCCTCCGCTCTCCAGCTGCCCAGCTCTGAAGGCAGCACCACTGCCAGCAGCAGCAGAGAAGTAGGAGTCAGGAGCGGCGCCAGGGTTTTTGCCGCCCTAGGCGGCAGCGCTCCATCTCAGAGCATTCGGCGGCGGGGGTCCTTCTGTGCCGTGTCTTCGGGGCGCTTCGGCGGCGGGCCCTGGAGCGAGTGAAGGACCCGCTGCCGAAGTGCCCCGAAGACGCAGAATGGAAGGACCCCGCACTGCTGAATTGCCGCCGAGGACGGCAAAATGCCCCCCCCCAAATCCTGCCGCCCTAGGCTACCACCTAGGGTCGCCTAGTGGAAGCGCCAGCCCTGGTTGGAGTAGCAGTACCACCCCCACCCAATAACCTTGTGACCCCCCACAACTCCTTTTTGGATCAGGACCCCTACAATTACAACACCTGACATTTCAGATGTAAATAGCTGAAATCATGAAATTTATGATTTTTAAAATCCTATGTCTGTGAAATTGACCAAAATGGACCATGAATTTGGTAGGCCCCTACTCATATAACATACAGATACAGCTTTACACAAGATCCCAACATACACAGCCCCAAATTGCGCCTCTGGGCTGCCCTGGAGGGACCAACCCTGAGAGGAAAGAAGAGTTCAGTTGCTACAGCCCATTTCATCCTGGTATCTGCCGAGCCTCCGAAGGGAGTGATAACTGGTGATGCTGGGGCTTGTGATGCAAATATCTGCCCCACTAGGTACTAGATTAAGACCCCAACTCATTTCACACAGCTCGCTCCACAGCCGTCAGCTGGGAATAACTTTCATTGACTGCTGACCTACGGCTGGGTCAGAGCCAGAGGAGAAAAGCTCCCACTCCTCGATTCCCTGAGGTGTCCAGTTTCCCAGGCTGGGGCTGGATTGGAACCAGTGACTTTTAGGGGGTAGGTTACATGTCCCCATCCCAGTCCCCTGAGCCAGGCAGACTGGGGCTTCACCAGAACCACAGACCCAGAGGTGAAAAGCTACATATTCCATTTCTCAATCCCTTGAACCATCCAGATCCCTCCAGCCTGGGACTGGAACCAATCACCTAGAGAGGACAGACTCCGTATCCCATCCCCCAATCCCCTGTGGCATCCAAACACACTTCTGCCCTTCACCCTGCCTTCTTACCCCATTCTGGGTCCAAATTGGAACCTAAGAGCTCAAGTTAAAGCCTCTGTATTCTATTCCCCACCTTGCTGAGACCTGAATGCAGGCCCTCTGCTCCCAGGCTTTTATTCACCCTTCCCCATCCTCAGCTGCCTTTAGAAGAGGCACCCAAAAGAGCTATCCCTAGCCCTTTCAGGGAAAGAAGGATGGCATCTCTGTCAGCTGGTCCCCAGCCTAGCTCCATCACTCATGGTCCTACTTTTAGCAGAAAGAGCTGCTGCCCCGGAGCCACCAGAAATCAGGCTGGGATGTCATGGAGAAGAGGAGTAAACTGAAGGGCCCCTGCTGGGTAATAAAGGGAAGAAGTGAGAGGAGCACAGGGGCCAGGGCTCTCCCACGGGATAGGGCACGGAGTTTGCTAGGGATGGATGGACAGGAGCTGTGCTGAAGAGGACTTCATCCTGCAGGGAGGTTCAAAGGGATGGAGGGGAGCAGCTGTAAAGTAGCCCGTGCCCAGCAGAGTAGCTGAGATCAGCTAGGGTGGATTCATGGATGGCCAGGAGCAGCACTAAAGAGGCCCAGAAGCATGGGCGAGATGGATGAAAGCTGTGATGCAGTGAGGTCAGGATGACCCTTCCCTTCCTACTAAGCCTGGTTGGAGCGGGTATGTATCATGGCATCACAGAAATGTAGGGCTGGAAGGGACCTTGAGAGGTAACCAAGTCCAGCTCCCTGCGCTGAGACACCGACTAAATCTAGACCATCCCTGACAGGTGTTTGTCCAGCCTGTTCTTAAAAACCTCCAGTGACGGAGATTCCACAACCCCCTTGGTAACCTGTTAACTATCCTCAATTAGAAAGGACATGAAAGCGAAGGTCAGTGTTGGTTGAGGGACACACCCTAGCCCACAGATCCCCTCTCACTGCCTTAGCTCAGGTTAGAATAGCACTGTGCCCACTCACCTTGGAATCTGAAGAAGCGGCAGCGCTAGCCAAGCTGCTCCGGCGGCTGCCAGCACCAAGTGAGGCTGGAGAAGGGCTTGGTGCCTGAGGCAGGGCAGCATTGTGTCGGTAATTTCCTGCTGACGGGACACTGGGGCAATCCAGGCCATCCATGCTGTGACTGCTCCGCAGCGGGAAGGACCTGAGCAAGAGGGGAAAGGAGAGATTCCAAGAAGAAAAGGCCAGAATCCAGCTCTGGGGAAGAGTGCTCTGGAATCTCTCCATACAGCACATGTGGTCTGGGATCGTGTCCCCTGGGAATCCCTTCCAAGAGGTTGCCATAGGGCAGGGGTTCTCAAACTGGGGGTCGGGACCCCTCAGGAGGTCGCGAGGTTATTACATGGGGGGGGGGTCACGAGCTGTCAGCCTCCGCCCCAAACCCCGCTTTTCCTCCAGCATTTATAATGGTGTTAAATATATAAAATTGTGTGTTTAATTGATAAGGGGGGTCGCACTCAGAGGCTTGCTGTGTGAAAGGGGTCACCAGTACGAAAGTTTGAGAACCACTGACACAGGGAATATGTACCCCTAGGATTTACCTAACTAGAGATTTAAAGGCCCCTGGAAATATTGTGCCACAATGGGAGCAACGTGTCACAGTTTCATTGAGAAAAGCCACGTCCAAGAGTGCCAATGGCCCTCAGACAAGTTCTTGAGCATGCCCAAGAGCCGTAGCCTCGATGGGCAGCTCCACGCAGGACATTGCGTCACCCAGGCACACGCTTGCGTGAATGACGTACGAACATGCACTTCAGCAGCTCCCATTACCTGGTGGGTGGTTCCTCCGGGTCTCTTACTCCCCTCAGGGGCTTTATGAAAGCTTCTGGGAACCAGCCGCTCCTAAGGCCCCGGAGACAGAGGGGACAATGAGCCTTTGCAGCAACACGTTTCTTAGCTTTCCGTTACCCGTGGTGGAGTCTGGCCAGGGCACTGGGGCGAACACGCTCATTGCATGGAGGGCCGTGATGGGATCTTAAAATGGCCACCAGTCACCGAGCCCTTTGCCTTGTGTCTGAGCTGAAAGAACAGCACTTCCAGCAGCACGTGGACCTCCCCTAGCACCAGGTCAGGGCCTTTGTTCAGGGACAACTTAGAGGAAAGAGCACCATTTACTAAGCCACCAGCACCTGGGTTTTCCTGGGAGAGCTCCCCCGGCACCGCTGGGAGTGGGCTCATATTGGACACTTTTTTGGACAGAGACAAGGCCGACCCCAGAAAGCGAGGACAGTTTTGGAGAATCCCCTGGGACTCTCCCCTGGAAACTCCCCTGCTCCAAAGGTAGACACAGCTGGGACTAATGAACCTCAAATAGAAAGGCAGCATCTGGGTAAGAACTATATGGCAAGCAGGCACCCCACAAATTCCAACCCACACCCTGCCCCACGTTGCCAGTAACCTATGCCCCATATCGGATACCAGGCCAGGGATGGCACCAGTTGTGCCTTTCGGTAACTGTCAAGCACTGTGCCATAGCAGTAGCTGCTGCCCGTGTAAGTGAGAAAGCCCTCGGCTAGACTGAGACTGGCATTGCTTTTTTAAGCAGGAAGGCTTGAGGGCAGGGCATTAACCCTTGGAGCCCAGCTCTTCACAGCTGGCTTCTGCCTTCGCCAACATCCCCCCTCCAGCCCAGCACCACGGAGACAGGCTGAGCGCACTTACGTGGATGATCCCTCTAGCTTGCCGTACAGCCAGCCGTTCTGCGCCTCTGGGATCAGCACCGTGATGACGTCCCCGAAGTTGAACCCTAGCAAGGTGCGGTTGGCGCCAGCAGAGTGGGGCACGATTGCCTGGACTCTCAACACGCTGCCGTCTCCTCCTGCGTCTCCTCCTGCCCGCTCCCCGAAGGAGCTGGAGCGCGAGCGCTGGCTGGCGGAGAGCGAGCCTGCCAGGAGCAGCCAAGGCGTGAGGGGTTTCAGAGGGCTTCTTTCAACCTTAGACTCCCCCTGCAAGACCCCAGCCTGGCTGAGAGGGACCCACCGCTGATGGAGTGAGACGCCTCCATTGTCCATTCAGACCTGGGCTTCCCTATCCCACTCACACAGCTTCCCTAATGGAGCCCTGACCCTGCCTGTTTGGGTCCCTGTTCATTCACTCGTGGGCTTCACCCCCACCCTCCATGTACCCTGCCCTCTCGCCCTTACATAGAACAGGTGCTCAAGTGCACCCTGGAACAAATGCATTATGGGCAGCTTTGTCCCTCCCAAATCCAGCCTGTACCTGCTCACATAAGGTACAACTAGCCCCACACCACTGCCCCCATCTACCCAGTCTTACCAGCAGATGAAGTCTTCTGCAGGCCTCTCCTGGTTGGTTCTGGCTGAGGAGAGGGTCTAAGAAGTTCTGCAGGCTCCTGGAGGAAGGGGCTTGAATTACGTCCAGTCATGGCTGAGCCAAAATCTCCCAGAGGCCTCTGAGGCTGTTGGAAGGAAATGAAGGTGAGCGTGAGCACCACAGAGGAGATTCCTCTTCGACAGAAGCCTGGTCCCTAAAGGAGTGTATCCCTCCCCACCCCCAACACTCCTACACACACACACACACAACCTCTCCCCGCCCGCCCCCCACACCTCGTCTTGGATAGCTAATGCCACCAAGGGAGGACAATCAGGTGAGGCCCTGGAGGTACAGAGTAATGGGATACACATGGGATTGCCTCCCACCCCAAAAAATAACAGACCCTGGGAAAAAGCTGGGCTGACCCTCTGTTCTGGGATCTCTGCCCTGGGAGAGGCCATCCCAGGCACCCCCCTGTTACTGGAGAGATCATTTGTTGGCATTTTTCTCACCATGTCGAGGTGGCTGGGGGTCAGGCGGCCTGACGGATACCCCTGGCCATGGGAGGCACTGAGCAGGCTCGGGGAGTGTCTGCTGCTTGGATTGCGGCTGGCCTCCAATTGCTCCTTCCACTTTGGCACCTTGCTCTGGATGATGCCCCAGGCCTGGGGAGAGAGAGAGGGGAGAGATCGGAGGAAAATGGGAGCAGACCAGCTGTGCGGGGGAAAGGGGGAATTAAAGAGTGGGGATCCAAAACAAGCTACAACCTGTACCCAAGTGCACTGTCCTCATTGCCACCAGCAGGATGAGGCAGGTGAGACACCCTGGCCACTCTACGAGCCCCTCAATGCTGATTGGCAGAGGGCCAACTGTTCTGTAACTCCCATCAGGCCTGACACACTCACTACCCCTAACTCATTGCCATCACAGTATTTATCTGTGACGAGTGTTGTGTGAAGTATCAGCTGAAAGCTGGTGACACACCGGTCACGAATATCATCGAGTGATGGGCGGTATGTAAAGAGCTATGTACGTGTGCCAGAAATATGTTTTGGGGGCAGACCTCATAAACATGTTTGTCCTAGACAAAGGAATGTTGATTTGCCTGCTTGCCTGGGTCTATGATGTCAATTGAGCATGATGATGCCAGAGACAATTTGTCTCTGAGGTAAACACCAGTTATCAGGAGGATGAGGAAAGAGCTTGTCATCGGCATGCTGCAGGATACCACAGTCTGAACCCCAGCGGGTAGTCCTAACTCTTAAGAAAAAGAAAATGAACGTTGAGGGGTATAAAGAGAAGCAAAAGGGCTCCTTATGAACCATCACTTAGTGGACAAAGATGCAGTGCTCTCTGTATCTTCGAACGGTGGATCCCCCACCATGTGGGTAGGTGATGCGGAAAAGCTGCTTTAGGTAAGAAATTTTTCTGAGTCAAAGATTGTAAGGTACACATCCCCACATAGAATCATTGAAACGTAGGACTGGAAGGGACCTCAAGAGGTCTTCCAGTCCAGTCCCTTGCACTCAGGGCAGGACTAAGTAGCTATGGCTATGTTCCTCCCCCCAACCTCAGGTCATACCCCCTCCTTACCCTGCTGTAGACCTGGAGGAAGGTGCTGGAGAGCAGCTGGTGCTTTTCAGCCAGGAAGCGGTAGCGACGCTTCTCCTCCAGCTCTGCAGCCCTCTGGCTCTCAGACACAAATGCCTGCATTTCCGATTGCAAGCGCCTCACTTTCTCCTGGGTGGACAAGAGGAGAAGGGATTGATGTCAATGCAGCACCCTGGGTCTGCACAGAGCAGTATTTGGGGGAATAAACCCAGGGTTTCCCTCAGCTGGCTGGGTCATCAGCCTGTATAACCCCTTTGCTATGCTGAAGCAGCACACAACATTTATAGGGATCTGGCCCCTAATCTTATTTTAGTCTTTCCACACAGTTTGCCTCAGAAACATCCTGCAGGAGGGAGTTCCATAGATTAACAGTACCCTGTGTGGAAAAGTATGTCTCCTATCTGTGTGTCAACTTGCTGCCTTTTGCAATCCAGGGAACACCCCCTTGTGTTCTTACTAAGGGAGAGACAAGCTATAAACTATCTTGGGCTCTGGAGGCATCATCAGCATCAGCTTGCAATGACCACTCTCCTCATTCCAGACTCTCCCGCGTCTCAGGGCCATCCTTGCCTCCACTTCATTTCCCACCTTCATTTCCCAGACATTTTTGTCTCGAGTCCTCTCCATCCTCCACAGCTCCGACATGCACTTCTCCAGGTTGGCAGCCCTGTGCCGGTACTCCAGTTCATACCGCTGATGGCTGTCCTGCCGGGAGCACAGAAGGAGACCAGAGACTATAAGGAACGTTTTCTAAAGCACAGAGGGGACTTAGGAGCCTAAATCTCATTGAAAGTCAATGGGCCTAAATCCCTTTTGAAAATGGGACTTAGGAGCCCAATGAATCCTAGCTACCACAAAGGAGAGCTGGCCAAGTCAGCCCATGAGGACATGGCAGCTAGGCAGAAGGAAAGTCTCTTTTTCTCCAGTTGCCGAGAGACCCTTCCCAACCCCTGCTCCAGGGAAAGCCTGGAATATCCTTGGAAATGCCTCAGGGATGAAACAATGATATAACCAGCAAGAGGGTGAAAGCCTGAGCTGCGCTAAGGGACTCAAAGGAGGGAGGGGCGCAGCGAAGGTGTGGGGAGAGAAGTCCAGCACCCTGCTTAGGGGTTGGGGAGAGGGAAGCCTGCAAAGAGCTCAGGAGGGACAGGGAAGGGCTGGGGCTCACGTTGATGAACTGCATGTCCAGCTTGGTGTTTTTCTCCATGTGCTGCAGCAGGTCTCCGTGGAACGTCTGAGCCTAGACGAGGCAGAGAAGTCGTTAGAAACCGCCCCTAGCAGCTGGTATTACTGGGCACTGCTGACAGCTGGGAGGCGAGGGGACCCGAAACGGGAAATTAGGGAGTGCCCAGGAGAACCCCCACCCCAGTCCTGACTCCTGATGGACACGCTTGGCCAGGCATCTGCAGACAGAGCCGATACTGCTTTTCCTCCCACCCTTTGTCTTGTCTAATCAGACGGAAAGCTCTCTGGGGCGAAGGCTGTCTCTCCATGTCAGTTGGGACCTCTAGACACTGCTGTCATATCAATAACAACCGCACAGCCGGGCAAGGGTTAACATCCTCATTTTTCACTAGTCCTCCCCTTCTCTACCCCCACCCCCAACAGCACAACCGGGGGCAGGGGAGGGGGAGAGATGTAAATATTGGCACGTCAGAACTGGATGCTGCTTAGATTACATCCCCCTCCTAGGGTTGCCAGGTGTCCGGTTTACGACCGGCACGCCCGGTTGAAAAGGGACCCTGGCAGCTCTGGTCAGCACCGCTGACCGGGCTGTTAAAAGTCTGGTCGGCAGCGCAGGGGGGCTAAGGCAGGCTCCCTACCTGCTGTGGCTCCACGCGGCTCCCGGAAGCAGCGGCATTTCTCCCATCCAGCTCCTGTGCGCCGGCTCTGCAGCTCCCATTGTCTGGGAACCACAGTCAATGGGAACGGCACTTGCGGACAGGGCAGCACGCAGAGCTGCCTGGCTGCACCTCCACGTAGGAGCTGGAGAGGGGACATGATGCTGCTTCTGGGAGCTGCTTGAGGTTAAGTGCCACCCAGAGCCTGCACCTGATCTCCTCCCGTGTCCCAACCCCCTGCCCCAGCCCTGATCCTCCTCCTGCCCCCCCAAACCTCTCATCCACAACCCCAACCCAGAGCCCACACTCCCAGCCGAAGCCTGCACCCCCTCCCACACCCCAACCCTGTGCCCCAGCCTGGAGTTCACTTCCGTCCTCCAAACCCCTCAATCCCAGTCCAGAAAACCCTCCTGCACCCCAAACACCTCATCCCCAGCCCCACCCCAGAGTCTTCACCCTCAGCCAGAGCCCTCACCCCCCAACCCCCTGCCCCAACCCCAGCCCTGATCACCGTCACACCCTCCAAACCCCTCGGTCCCAGCCTGGAGCCCCCTCCTACACCTCAAATCCCTCATACCCGGCCCCACACCCTCAGCCAGAGCCCTCACACCCCCACCCCGCACCCAACCCCCTGCCCCAGCCCGGTGAAAATGAGCGAGTGAGGGTGGGGACAGTGAGCGACGGGGGGGAGGGGGGGAGGCGCTCAGAAAAGGGGCAGGGCCTCAAAGGAGGGGCAGGGCAAGAGTGTTCAGTTTTGTGCATGTAGAAAGTTGGCAACCTTAACCCCTCCCCCAGTTCTGCTCACCACAAACTGGGAGCAACCCACCCCAAACTCTTGGTATGGAAACAACAGATGGCATCTAGCCACTGCAGCTCCATAAAACACAGCTCCATTAGGCCAGCATACAGCTAAGGGCTGCTCCCAGTACAGATGGGCCACGGCAAGATACTCACCACTACTTCCAGGTCAGAGTTCATATGCCTGTGAGTGTCAGACATCTGCATCAAAATTTGACCTTCAAGAAAAGAGATCAAAGTATCATAGTTAGACCTTCCTCCTTGCGTGTATCATTCTCTCCCAGAGAGTTAAAACAAAGGGGTCATTAGCACTAATCACCACTGTTACATGACCGGCACAGCGTTATCTTGGTGCAAAAGTCCAACTACTATCGCTATGCATTAGCTGTCTGCTGGGGCTGGGTCCAAGGTGTGAGGAGAGGGTTTCAGCCAATCCGCTTCATTCTATAACAGCTGCTCAATCTCTTTCTATAATTTCACTGATTACCATCAGAATATGCACGTTATAACCAGTGGCTTAGCGCACCATGGGAAACTGTGGTACCAGCTCCCGGTCTTCCAGTCTCTTGCATAGTGGAGTTAGCAAGGGGTTGGAAGGCTGGGATATGTGCCCCAGGGCAAGCCGTTGCGTACTTCACAGCAAGTCACATCGACTGTCTGCCCCAAGGACCCTGGATTCTGCACGACACTGCGGCAGCAGGCCAAAAATTTGGTGACAGCTTTATCTACATTAAATATCCCGTTTGCAATGAATGCAGAATTAAATCCGCCTGCGCACTTAGTGGCGCTCGCCACTATGTGGCTTATTTTGATATTACATTCCATTTCGTTTACATTGTCCCCATGTTTCTGTTTGAGATGT